TTTTTAAATTAGCATTCGGTTTTATTTTATTTTCTATCAAATTTCGAAATTACGTGTTAATAAACAATATATCCAATGTAACAAAAAAGTAATTTCAGGTTTTTCTTTCGGCTAAATATTTATCCGACGATTCGAATTAAATTCGGTTTAGCATAAATCGGTTTTTTCCATAATTTTACCCACCAGGGAATAAAATACTAACTTATTTACCGACTCTGCAGCCCATTGTTCAGGTGTCTTTTTTGATACATTAGAACAATTAAAATAATTTGAATTAAGAACGGTATTTTTGAATGGCCGGTAAATGAGTTGGTATTTTATTCCCTGTCTCCCACTGTTTTTCTTACTTTTATTGTTTTTAAACAATACATGATCTTACGCTAAAATGAACCTTTTTTTTTAAATAACTTTAAAAAATATTCGAAGTAGTTAAGAATAAAATTTTGAATACAAATATCTAAAGATATTTTGTTCTATTTATTATAGAGCTACTTTAAAGCTTCGTTAAAAATAAAATAAAAATAAAATAAAAATAAAATAAAATAAAATAAAATAAATAAATAAATAAATAAATAAAAAAAAATTCTACTATAAAATGTAATAATAAGTTATATAATAAATGCCAAAAAAATGCACCCAAAAAATTTTGAAAATTTCATATTAAAATATTTAAAATTTCCAGCTTCAGCCGCGACAATAATATCTTAAATATTATTTGATCATTTATTTTTTTCCCACCCTTTTATCTGGGTATCATCAGATCTTACTTCATGCATTAAAATATTTATATTATCTTGACTTTCCATAGCAATCCGAAGTTGTACTGAATCTAATACATTATTGCTAATGAATCTACTTTCATAAGGATGAATGTCTTCTGATTCGTTAAATATTGCGTTATCTGACCCATAAACATTTAATAAAGATTTAGAATCATTCTCCCAAGATTTAGAATTATTTTTCCATGATTTAATTATTTCATAAATTTCTGATGCTTTTGGACGTTTCTTTGGATCATTATCCCAACACCTTTTCATAAGGTTGGTATAACATTGCGGCATTTCTTTAGCGACTGTTGGTCTTATTCCTTCACAAATTTCTGTAAGAAGAATTATATCATGATCTTTGTCTAAAAAAACTAACTTTCCTGAAGATACTTCCCACATTATCATGCCAAATGAATAAATATCAGATGCTGTTGTATATCCTTTTTTGCGTATGACTTCGGGTGCAATATATGGGTGAACTCCATAAATACCATTAGATTTCTTTAATGTTTGATTAACTGATTCTGAAAGTCCTAAATCTGCAATATAGGCATGACGCAAATCATTCAGTAAAATATTACCACTATGTAAATCTCTGTGAATAAGATTATGTGAATGAATTATCCGAAGGTCCAAAGCAATACATAGCAAAAGTGTTAATTTTTCTTCCCATTCCATTTGTGCAACTGATTGAAGATTTTTATTTAATGGACCCTTTTTTGCATATCTCATAACAAGGATATACTCTCCAGAATTATCCTTTGAAATACCATAACATTTTAAAAAAGTGGGATCTTTATTACAAATGTCACAATATGCCTTTAACTTTTAGTATCAGGGGAAATGCAAGGTTAAATTTCGCATTATTAATAAATAATCTATATATTTAAATCAAAATTAACTCATGAAAAGTACCTCTTTTATGAATTCTTGTTTATGCTCTTTTGATCCGCGAAATAATTTAAGTGCAACCGATCTATTCATATTATTTTGGAACCATTGAGCACAATATACTGTGGCAAATCCACCTTTTCCAATCTCTCTGATCTGTTTAAATTTTTTATAAGGAATCCATAACAATTCTTTATTTTTATTCAAAATTTCTTTTAAATCATCATCAATGACGCTATCAATATTAAAAACTTGGTGCATCCTTTTGTCTGTAACTAAAAAATTATAATGGTGAATTTTTAAGCAAATAGTTAATTAAATTAAAGTAACTTGTTTACCTGATGATGAATTTCTATATTAAATTAAATTAATATTAAATATTGTTGCTAAGTGTTAATGAAGTAATAAATAATATAAATTGCTTACTTTATATACCAATATTTAGCTTTTTCTAAATCTATTTCCACACCGATTCCATTTCTATAACAATCAACAAGGTTAAATATTCCGTTAGTATGTCCCATCTTAGCTGCCTTTTCATAACAAATGAATGCATTACATTCATTCTTTTCAACTCCATTTCCATACCGGTAACAGTTACCAAGACCATTTGTTCCACCATTATGTTCCAGTTCAGAAGATTTCTTAAAATTATTGAATGCTTTATGCATATTTTTATTAACTCCAATCCCGTAATAATAACAATTACCAGTCTCGTACATTCCTTTAGGATTACCCATTTCGGCTGATTTTTCAAAATAGCTAAATGCTTTTTGCAAATTCTTATTAACTCCAATCCCGTTCTTGTAACAATTACCAGTCTGAAACATTCCTTTAAAATCACACATTTTGGCCGATTTTTCAAAATAGCTGAATGCTTTGTGCATATCTTTTATAACTCCAATCCCATTAATGTAGCAATTACCGGTCTGAAACATTCCTTTAGAATTACCCATTTCAGCTGATTTTTTAAAATAGTTGAATGCTTCATATATATCCTTTTTAACCCCAATCCCATAATTATAACAATTACCAGTTTGAAACATACCCTTAGAACTACCCATTTCGGCTGATTTTTGATAAAAAATAAATGCGTTATTTTCATCTTTTTCTACCCCAATTCCATACTGATAACAGTGTCCTATTTGAAACACTCCCTTAGAACTACCCATTTCGGCTGATTTTTGATAAAAAATGAATGCGTTATTTTCATCTTTTTCTACCCCAATTCCATACTGATAACAGTGCCCTACTTGAAACACTCCCTCAGAATTACCCATTTTGGCTGATTCCTGATAATATACAAGTGCTTTACATTCATCCTTTTCGACTCCAATTCCGGTTTTATAGCAGTGACCTGCCTGAAGTGCACCTTTATAGTTACCCATTTCAGCTGATTTTTGATAAGAAATGAATGCGTTATTTTCATCTTTTTCTACCCCAATTTCATATTGATAACAGTGCCCTACTTGAAACACTCCCTCAGAATTACCCATTTCAACTGATTTTTTATAATAGTTGAATGCTTCATATATATCCTTTTTAACTCCAATCCCATAATTATAACAATTACCAATTTGAAACATTCCCTTAGAACTACCCATTTTGGCTGATTTTTGATAAAACGTAAACGCATTACATTCATCCCTTTCTATCCCAATTCCATTTTGATAACAGTATCCTACTTGAAACATTCCATAAGGATTGCCCATTTCGGCTGATTTTTTATAATAGGCAAATGCTTTACGTTCATCCTTTTCAACACCAATTCCATTTTGATGACATTTACCAACTTGAAACATACCATTATAATTTTCCATTTTAGCTGATCTTTCAAAATGGATAAATGCTTTATGTTCATCTTTTTCAATTCCAAACCCATCTTTATAGCAAATACCCATTTGAAATATTCCATTAGAATTGCCCATCTCAATTGACTTTCTATAAAATACAATTGCACTATATTCATCCTTTTCAACTCCAATCCCATATTGGTAACAAATACCGATTTTATGCATTCCATTACCGTAATTCATCTCAGCTGATTTTTTATAATAAAAAAACTGTTTACTTTCATCATTTTCAACCCATTTACCAATGCAATAACATCCTGCAAGAATATATGGAACTATAGGATTTGTTTGGTTTTGTTCATTTAAACACCAATTGACTATATTCTCGGAAGCTTGATAATTTTTAATTAGAAATTGATCTATTATATCAAAAATTAATTTCGTGGTTTTCCCTTTTGTAGCCTCTTCGTCATAGATTTTACATAAATCCTCAACGATTTTATTTATTTGATTAGACATTTTAAATGTGAGAAAAAAGGTTTTATGAGTGAGCTTGGGCGTTATTTAGAAAAATGCGCTTTCTAAAAACATTATGCATTGTTTTGAAACATTCCAGATATAAAGGCACATATTAAATAGTAATGTTTAGATTAATATCGATATCGAATTAATATTGTACGCCAAAATATGGTACAGTAATTAGAACAAAGTTACCAATAAAAAATTAGCATTATTAATGGCGTATACACGATGGGTTATCATTAAGTATTGATCGCTATTGTAGAACCCTTTTTTTACAATCTTGGACAGTTGGCTGCATCTAATGCTAGTAACGATAATTTATATAAATGTATCCAAATATTCAACTTTGAATTCTTTGGGGCCAATTTTTTCTTTTATTTGGTGAATAATAACTTCACACTTTTATATTTTATAAATTAATATTTTTATGAAATAATTCATGAGCTGAAATTTTCTACTAACCATCTAATAATTATTTTTTCACACATTAATCACCAGGCGTAAGTTTAGTTTTAAGCTGGTCAGTCAAAAAAGAATTTACAGTTAAATAATACAATCAATAATATGTAATGTTTTTAAATTACCAGCCGTAAGTATGTTAAATTTAAATATTGCCATTAAATAATATGGCTCTAAACCATTATCAACCTTAAGTTTAATAGAACTCAATCGAAGAAACTAACATCCTAAAAGTAATCATAAATTTTATTTCTATTCGTTTAAATATTAATATTATCAAGTAACCTTAAATAATGCAATTCTAATCTTTTACTTGCTAGTGTGAGTAATTATGTTTATTAATGTTAATACTGGATTTATCAAACGAGTATTTATCATTAAAGCAACTTTAATCACAAACTTACCAGCGTATGTATATAAAATTTCTTTCTGTCCTAATGTGGGTACTTCAAAGAGTATTAACCATCAAATAATACAACTCTAATCAATCATCCATTAAGGTGAATATAAAATTTCTTTCTGTTCATTTTAATATTGGTATGTTCAAGACTATTAACCATTAAACGTAACTCTATTCATTATTAGCTTATAATCGTGAGTATAAAATTTCTTCATTTAATACCGAATATTTTCAAGAGTATTAACCGTTAAATAATCATTCACTTTTTAGCGTGAGTATAAATTCCTTCCTTTTATTTTAGTATCATATATATTCAAGAGTATTAATGAAACTCTGAAACTTATCAGGGTGATTATAAAATTTCTTTCTGCCTATTTAATATTGGGAAGGTTAAAGTATCAACATTAAATAACGAAACTCTAATCATTCACTTTCTAGCGTGAGTATACAAATTTCTTTCTGTTATTGGTGTATCCAAGAATATTAACTGTTGAATATGCAGCTTTAAAGCTTAGCGGTGATTATAAATTTTTTTGTTTATTTTATATTGCCTGTATCCAAAAGTATTAACCGTTGAATCATACAGCTTACCAGTACGGTGGTTGTAGTTAGGAATGTAAATGGACAGAGGTATGGGCATGTTACACAAAAATGAAATGCTAACGCTAATAACTTAAAATTCTACTATGATAGCTTGAATTTAAATTAAGTAAAAAGTATATATCACTAAATTTTACATATAATTTTATATTTTTTAATAGTATATACTATATTATAAAATGTATAAACACTATGGACATGGACAAGTCAATAAAATCGATGAACATAGTAATGTCGTTATTTACAATTCAACTACAACTTTACTGAATGTTTGTATAAAGTTTTCTATTCATTTTAATATTGGACATATTTAAGAGTATTAACCATAAAATAATATTCTAATTAACTTGCCAGAGTGAGTATAAAATTTTTTCTGTTCATTTAATATCAATGTATCAAAAGCGTTAACCGTTAAATAATAAACTTTAATTATTAACTTCTAGTGTGAGTATAAAATTCTTTCTGTTTATTTTAATCTTGTGTATATAAAATAGTATTAATCTTTAAATAATGCAACTTAATCATTAACTTATCAGGGTGAGCATAAAATTTCTTTATATTTATATTAATATTAGGAGTATTAACCGTTAAATGATGCATTTAATCATTAACTTGTCAGGGTAAATATAAAATTCTTTGTTATTTTAATACTGGTATACTCAGTGTATTGACTATTAAATAATGAAACTCGAATCATTAACTTACCAGAGTGAGTATAAAATTTCTGTCCATTTTAATATCGGGTATATCCAAGAGTATTAACTGTTAAATAATGAAACTCGAATTAACTTACCAGCGTGAGTATAAAGTTTAATTCTGTTTATTTTAATGTTGGTGTGTAGAGAGGATATAGGATTAACCATAATTATTTAATCGTTCATTAAATTACCAGAGTGAGTATGAAGTTTAATTCTGTTCATTTTAACAAGAGAGAATAAAGGATTAACCATAATTATTTAATCGTTCATTAAATTACCAGTGTGAGTATGAAGTTTAATTCTGTTCATTTTAACCTTGGTGTGTAGAGAGGATAGAGTATTAACCATAATCATTTAATTGTTCATTAAATTATCAGAGTGAGTATGAAGTTTAATTCTGTTCATTTTAACCTTAGTAGAGAGGATAGAGAATTAACTATAATCAATTAATTATTTATTAAATTACCAGTGTGAGTATGAAGTTTAATTTTGTTCATTTTAATGAGGAATAAAGGATTAACTATAATCATTTAATCATTCATTAAATTATCAGTGTGAGTATGAAGTTTAATTATAATTATTTTAACCTTGGTGTGTAGAGAGAATAGAAGATTAACCATAATCATTTAATTGTTCATTAAATTACTAGTGTGAGTCTGAAGCTTAATTCTGTTCATTTTAACAAAAGAGAATAGAGGATTAACTATAATTATTTAATTGTTTATTAAATTACCAGTATAAGTATAAAATTTAATTCTGTTCATTTTAATCTTGGTATGTAGAAAGAATAGAGAATTAACTATAATTATCTAATTGTTCATTAAATTACCAGTGTAAGTATAAAGTTTAATTCTGTTTATTTTAATGAGAGAGAATAGATGATTAACTATAATCATTTAACTGTTAATTAAATTACTAGTGTGAGTATGAAATTTAATTCTATACATTTTAACCTTAGTATATAGAAAGAATAGAGGATTAACTATAATTATTTAATTATTTATTAAATTACTAGAGTGAGTATAAAGTTTAATTCTGTTTATTTTAACTTTAGTGTATAGAGAGAATTGAGGATTAACTATAATCATCTAACAATTAATTAAATTACTAGTGTAAGTATAAAATTTAATTCTATATATTTTAACCTTGATATGTAGAAAGAATAGAGGATTAACTATAATTATTTAATTATTTATTAAATTATCAGAGTGAGTATAAAGTTTAATTCTGTTTATTTTAACTTTGTTATATAAAGAGAATAAAGGACTAACTATAATCATTTAATTGTTTATTAAATTACTAGAGTAAGTATGAAGTTTAATTTTGTTTATTTTAATGAGAGAAGATAGAAGATTAATTATAATTATTTAATCATTAATTAAATTACTAGTTGTAAGTATGAAATTTAATTCTGTTTATTTTAATGAGAGAGAATTAAAAATTAATTGTTTATTAAATTATTAGAGTGAGTATAAAGTTTAATTTAATTTATTTTAATATTGATGTATAAAAAGAATAAAAGATTAACTATAATTATTAACTATTTATTAAATTACTAGGGTAAGTATGAAGTTTAATTCTATTTATTTTAATGTTGATGTATAGAGAGAATAGAGGATTAACTATAATTATTTAATCATTTATTAAATTACCAGGGTGAGTATAAAGTTTAATTTTGTTTATTTTAACCTTGATATATAAGAAGATATAGAAGTAACATATCATTTAATTGTTTATTAAATTATCAGAGTAAGTATTAAGTTTAATTCTGTTTATTTTAACTTTAGTATATAGAGAGAATAAAGAATTAACTATAATTATTTAATTATTTATAAATAACTAGTGTAAGTATAAAGTTTAATTCTGTTTATTTTAACTTTGTTGTATAAAGAGAATAGAGGATTAAATATAATTATTTAATTGTTTATTAAATAATTAGCGTGAGTATAAAGTTTAATTTTATTCATTTTAATTTTAGTATATAAAAAAATAATGAATTAACTATAATTATTTGATTATTCATTAAATTAATAGAGTAAGTATGAAATTTAATTCTGTTTATTTTAATTTTAGTATGTAGAAAAAATAAAGAATTAACTATAATAATATTATTATTTATAAATTACTAGAGTGAGTATCTATTTATTTTAACTTTGGTATATAGAAAGAATAAAAGATTAATTATAATTATTTAATTATTCATTAAATTACTAGTGTGAGTATAAAGTTTAATTCTGTTCATTTTAATTTTGGTATATAGAGAGAATAGAGAATTAACTATAATAATTTAATTGTTCATTAAATTATTAGTGTGAGTATAGAGATTAATTATGATTATTTTAACTTTAGTATATAAAGAGAATAAAGAATTAACTATAATAATTTAATTATTTATAAATAACTAGTGTGAGTATAAAGTTTAATTCTGTTTATTTTAATTTTGTTGTATAAAGAGAATAGAGAATTAAATATAATTATTTAATTGTTTATTAAATAATTAGCATAAGTATAAAGTTTAATTCTATTCATTTTAATTTTAGTATATAAAAAAAATAATGAATTAATTATAATTAATTAATCATTCATTAAATTAATAGTGTAAGTATGAAATTTAATTCTGTTTATTTTAATAAGAGTAAATAAAAGATTAACTATAATTAAATAATTATTTATTAAATTAATAGGTGAGTATAAAGTTTAATTTGATTTATTTTACTTTAGTATATAGAAAGGATAGAGAATTAGCTATAATTATTTAATTATTTATTAAATTATTAGCGTGAGTATAAAGTTTATCTTTGTTTATTTTAATTTTAGTATATAGAAAAAAATAGAAAATT